ACCTGGTGGTATCCTGATCTCAAATCAATCTTGGAAAACCAAGATGCACCCTGCAACTGATAAAAAAGATCGTCTATCCTCGGAAGCGGATAACGATTCTTCACCGTTAACTTGTTCAGCTCCCTATAGTCAATGCACATCTTGTACGAACCGTCCTTCTTCCTGACGAATAGGATCGGTGCTCCCAGGGTGAACTACTTGGACGAATAAACTGCTTACCCAGCAGCTCCTGCAACTGAGACGACAACTCCTGCATCTCTGGCGGTGCCAGTCGGTACGACGCCTTAGCGATAGGGGCCGCACCCGGCACTAGATCAATCCTAAACTCAACCTGCCTCTCCGGAGGCACTCCGGGTAACTCCTCCGGAAACACATCAGCAAACTCTCTAACCACCGGAACCTCTGAAACTGAGAGCTGCTCCCTAACCCGCGTATCTACTACATACGCCAAATAACCGACACACCCGTGTTGTATATACTGTCGAGCCCTGGCTGCCGAACAAAACCTTGATCCCAACCTGGTGCCCTCGCCATATACTACCAGTTCTCCCCCACTTGGGGTTCGAACCACCACCCGCTGCCCCTCACCACGATGTGGTGGAAGCATCACCACGATGTGGCATGGTCGCATGAGACGCGTATCTCATTTAAGGCGCCACAACGTGACACTACAGTGGTCACGATGTGGTACCTAGGTTTGGGCAAAACCCTAAGTTTTTAGGCTTAGGCTTATTTAAAAGAAGTGGTGGCTAAGGTTTCCTCCACCCTTAGCCTTCATCACCTCCTAGATACACCCTTGAGCAAACCCTAGCCTCCTTGAAGCTTTTGGAGATCATTTTGCACGTTTTAGTGATCTTTGATGTAGAAGAAAGAAGTTTGATGCATAGATGCATCAAGAAATCCATCTCCACCCTTGTGTGCATCTTTTGGACCGTTTGTGAGTTCTCAGGTTCCTTTCTTGGTGATACCCTCCTGTTAGATCTAGGTTATTTGATTTGTTTGGTCCATAATTGAGTGTGTATGGATGAAAGTGATAAAGTTTGCAACTTTATGGCTTACATTAGTCCCTTGGTAATTATATCTTCCGGGTCTAGGATTTGGTGTAGTTTTGGTAATCATGTATGAGCTTTAGGTATGTTTTCTCACATTTTTTACCTAGTTTGAGAAAGGACATGCATGGAGCATGCATGTCCATAAACTTTGGATTTTTATGAGCCTTTTGACCCCTCTAGAAGCCTTTTGGAAGTTTGGGGCTAATAACTTAACCGAATAAGAGGAGCTTGAGTAAATAAGTTGTTTGCAGCTTATTGTCATGACGTGACGAATTGGGTGCAACGACGTGGCGAAATAGAAACTGCGATTGTTTTGTTGAGAAGGTCCCATGACGTGACCAAAGGATGGCTACGATGTGGAGGTCAAATGACATTAACTTTGACCGTTGAAATTTGATTGGGTTTGACTTTTAGTCAAAATGATAGTTTGGGAAGGTAGACTAAGGGTTTACCTTGTATTACTTTGTATGAGGTGTGTAGCACCCGTTTTCCATTTGTATGAGCTTGTTAGTTTACGGCATTGTTGCGAGGTAAGTCTTCTCACTATACTATGTAGGATGTTAGTTGTCTTTGGGACTCTTGCATGGAATATCTGGGTTTGGCCCCTGACATTTGTATGAAAGACCATGGTTTGGACCCTGACATTTGCATGAAGGACCAGGGTTTTCCCCCTAGCAATTGTATGAAAGACTAGGATCTGGCCTCTGACACTTGTATAAGTAAAGACCATGATTTAGCCCATAACAAGGGGATACGACTATGATTTGGCCCATATCACTTTCTTGGGGTTGAAATAGAGTCGTTATCTATGGTATGTGGTATTTTGAGAGAACTTACTAAGTTTTATGCTTACGGTTTTGTGGTTTAAATGTTTTAGGTACTTCTGGTTCCAAAGGAAGGGTACGACGTGATCATACAGCATCCCCTGAAGATTGTTCCGCAGTTTTTATTTGAGTCATTATGATGTTTGATAATCCTTTTTATAATGTTAATTTGGTTTTGAAAACAATTGGTTGTATCACTTTTGGGTATTTTGAAAAATGGAAATTTTACTAGTATATTTGGGAAGTTAGAAGTTGCTATTAGAACCTTGGTTTGAGGGATTTAGGCACAATCTCAGGTGTTTCTAAACTTAAACTGGGGAATTTTACCAGATTAATTTTGATTACTAATTAAATAATTCAAACTATTTATAATTAATTTATTCATCATATAATAAAGTAACAAATCATTTATCTATTTTCTAAAGTCATTTGTAGCTATTTCTAGTTAATGAGAGAAATTCAAAAAAAACTTTACTTTTTTTCCGTAAAATTATACCAATTTAATCATGGTATTGACAAATTTAGTTATGAAATTGTAAACCTGTTCCAATATAACTAAGGAATGAAATGGACATAATAATGGAATAAATACTTACATTCCATAGTCTCATTTGTATGAATGAAATGAATTTTAATATATATATTTTATATCATATTTAGAAATCCAATATATAATAATTATAATTAACAATATTTTATCTACATAAATTAAAAATTAGACATAATTAAAGTTCATTAAACCTCCAATAAGCTATATGTTATTCCTTTTTTAAAAATAATATAATTAAAATTTAAAATAATAAAACTAAAAATTACCCTTAAAGATTACATAACTAAAAATAAGTTATACTGTAATTTTTAACTCAACTCCATAATGCAATGCAAAGAACACCCCTTTAACAAGATAATGAAAATTAACAAAACTGAAAGTTCCATTCCATTTATTTTTCATTCCTATGGAATGAAGCATTTTAATTAATTTCTTGATCCCATATATGTTTCGATAAATGTAAAGTTGCTTGCACAAAAACTTTCATGAAACTCATAATGAGAACATGAGAATTGGTTGTAACTTTCATGTAGGTTTTGAGACATGGGAGCGAATTTGAACATATCGCTTCTTATAACCCAAAACAATCTCCAAATGATGTATCATTGGCCCTAATGATAAGTACACGCCAAAAATTTACTTTCCATTGAAAATGTAATGTCTTAATAAGAAAAAAAATTAAAAGTCCTAATACGCCAAAATTACAAAAACTATTGCTTAAACTTCCACTACAAAGGGCGGCTTAAAATCTCGTTACTATAATTTTGTTATACTTGAAGATCATTATACATGGATTGTTTCAGTAATCTTTTCATACGTAAGGACCATTATATAATTAAACATGGACCGTTATAACGATGTCATATTTATGGACCGTTATATAGTTTATTTATAAATAGGATCCATTTATGTAAAAAAAAACTACATGGACCAAAAATATAAATCATGCAAATTAAAATACAATGACCAAAACTATCAGGAAATGTAATATCGTTATTATATATGGACAATTTTTGAAATTTTCCTATTATATAGGACCATTTCTATAACTTTGTCTTATAGATGGGATGTTACTATAATTTTATTTTACATATGGAGTATTTCTGCAATTTCATTATTCGATAAAGACCATTTTGTAATTTATCTTACACACGGACCATTTCTATACGTTTGTCATTTTGGATATTTTTTTTACATAAGGATTATTTATGTAACTTTCATTAGGGCTGTGCATGGGTCGGTTTTGGACCCAAACCCAACCCAACCCATAAATGTTCGGTTTCTGGTTTTCAGAACCCAATAGGATCGGTTTCTGGTCGGTTCGGTTTCTTGGGTTCTGAGGTCGGTTTGGTCGGTTTCTTGGGTTCAACCCATACACTTACGGGTTCTGGGTTTAAACCCATGGGTTTTAACCCATTTTCCAAAAACGAAGCAATAAGTAAAATACTTCAAAAACACCAAATTGAAGTTAAATACTTCAAAAAACATGGGTCTTACAACCAAATAGTCTACTACAAGTTACAACCAAAGCCCGAAATAGTCTATTATAACAAAAAAAACAATCAAGTATGAGTCGGTTTCTCGGGTTGGATGGGTCGGTTTCTTGGGGCGGTTTGTCGGTTTTAAGTATGGGTCGGTTTCTCGGGTTGGATGGGTCAGTTTCTGGGTAAAAACCGAAACCGAACCCGACTTTTCGGTTTTTAAAAAATTCAAACCCTAACCGTCGGTTTTTCTTCGGTTTCGGTTTTTTCGGTTTCGGTTTCGTCGGTTTTAGTCGGTTTCTCGGTTTGTTGGTTTGGGTTTGCTCACCCCTAATTTTCATACTCAAGAACCATTACATAATTAGACATGGATCATTTTTATAATTGTATCGTATTTAAGGACCATTATATAGTTTGTTTGTACATATGAATTATTTATGTAAAAAAACACTACTGGGACCAAAATTATAATTCTTGCAAACTAAAAACTACAAGACCAAATTTTCATTTAAGCATTTCCTGCGATTTAGAAGGGATATATAATATGAAATACCAAACACGTAAAAACTCAATCAAACCATATGTCAAGATAAACTTCAGAAAGTAAGCTTTGCATTTGATACATTTTAACCCAATTAATTTGTGTGTTATGTGCAAAGAATACACTTGATATCAAACGTGGGTTTTCTAGCAATTTTTTTTTAACACACATGAATTTGAATACTAGAACCCTTGATAGGTAAAGTGATGAATACATTAATGTTACTTGTATTTGTTAGTTAAATGCAAAATATGTTAAAAGCAACTCATTTGAATCATTATAGCTTTTTGATGAGAATGCAAAACTAAGAAGGGAAATTTCTTCTATAAGTGAGGTTGCAAACAATGTTATCGTTATCTTTAATTTGGTGTAAGCATACGGGTAATAATATAAATTTTAACTAGCGGAGTGGAGTTATTTATCCCCTTTTAAGCGCACTGAAATTGCATGTACCTTGTCTGCTCATTGCTAAGTATGCAGCGTTTGTTTTATATATATTTGTTGTTTCAGAAAAAAAAAAAACTATTATCAAGTTCATTTTAACTCTGTTTTTACATAAACGACCTCTTCCTTTTTTTTTTCCATTACAAATCCATCTTCATTTTATAATTTCTACATTACTTATAAGTCGATTATTCATATATTGTTTTTGTGTCACTCCTCTTTTGATAACGGCTAAGGTTGTTTCTTCAATCAAGAAAGCCAACCTCCATTGACAATTCCATCATATTCAAATGCGCACCAAAAAATTTGATGATGGAGCAACCATTCGTCATTGTTGACAATGCTTTATCTTTTCTTTTTTTTAACTTCGTCTTGATTTATCTGATTTTCTCTCGATATTTTTTCATCATCTACAACAACGCAACAACATGGTCACACAAAGCAAAAACTAGGGATCTTTTGTTAAATATGAAAATAAAGAGTTTACGTTGAGAGTACTTATATAATTACGTATGTTGCATTGACAAAAATTTCCTTACATATTACATGATTAACTAAAAGTTACATGATCAGCTAAAAGAAATTAGATAACGTTTTTTTTTCCTTCGTAATTTTGGCACAAGTTATGCGAATAAGAAATAAACAATATCTTAAATAAAATGATTTTAATATTAAATTAATTTTAAATGGTAACTTTATAAAATACTTTAAAAAAAAAAAAAATTAACCTTGATATATATCCAGTTTCACCAACAGTTCGTTGCGTTCCAGCTCTCATCATCTCCATGGATTCAAATCCATGATTGGATCGGATAATTGCATTTGAATGAATTCAATCCACTTAGATGGGGGAAGATGTCCGATGATTCCAAACTCTGTTCTTCATCCTTCACTACAACCTGCTGATTCACAAGAACAAATTCGATTTCAATAAATTTTCGGGTTTGTAAACAGGTAAAGTGAATAATGCAGATCAATCATCAATCAATTGGACATTACATCGAAAGATCTTCCATTTTCATCGGTATCGTTGCTGTTGCTTCTATTGTTCTCCCCGAATTCATCGTTCTTTGCAAATCTTCCCCTTACTCGTGGCCGGCTATCTGCCAGAGTTTTCCGGCATGCGTACTGCAGAAAGAGCTCCGAATTTAGTCTGATAATCTCTTCGAACAAGGTAATCAGTGTATCAGATAGCAATTCACGAATCTAATTGTTTATATTCTTTACAATTTTCATCTTAAGAATATAAATTTTCTTTGCAATCTCATTTTTGTTGCAGAAAATAAGAGGAGATGATTGCGATTTGCGAATGTTGAAAAGGTCTGATACTTCCTCTGAATCAAGTACTGAATCAGATACCGAGTGATAGAAATTAGAATTAGCATATGATTCTTGGGTTTTTTTACCTTGATTTTCTTCTTGAAATTCCTTTCTTTTCTTTTCTTCAAGTATCTATGGATCTTCTCTTTCCTTTCTTCAGTTGTGAGCTTGGTGGCAACTCTGAAGGTTTCTGACTCCAAGCTTGTGATATCGGACACCAATGGCGTTGTAGAACTCACACTTCCTTTTACAAGATGCTGGCTTTCATTGCTAAGTGCCTTTAAGTTTCAACAAATGAAAACAAACATAAACCTATTGTTAGAAACAATATAACTACTATTTTACTACCACATAACATTTATAATAAATAAATAAATAAATAATTATTCTTCTAATAACTCTAAGTTGGGCAGTGTCCTGTCCCAAAAGAATTTAATCCACATTGGAATTGAAACTCTTACACAGTTTTCGAACTATATACCCCCTCAGAACCAAGTGTATCCAAATAACATTTCGAAAAACACCTGAAGTTCATTAGAGCTGTAAACGTGTAGCGGAGGATCACAACCAAAGATTGCACCGTTGTCTCCATGGAATTCAAGTTCATGACGTGGCATGTCATTTCCTAAAAACAAATTCCCTTTGAAAATCCCGGAACCTTCGTACGAATTTATAGATGGATCAATGAACGAATAATTACGAGACAAACAATCATTCAACCGCATGAACTTCAAAGGTGACACAGAGTTTAGACTGCTCTCTTCACAAACGGTCGGCAATGGTTGTGTTTGTCCAATTGTGGGCCCCACTTGATCATTCAAAACCGTATTACTATATGAAAAAATACGAGCGACATTTGTGTCATTGTTTTCATCGATTGTAGTAGGGATTTGGTTTTGGAGCAAATCTAGGTCAAATTGGTCTTGATTACTAAAAGGGTACTGATGGTTAGTGAAATGGGAAGCGTTTGCGAGATCAATAGGGGTAGAAATGTCATTTTCCATGATTTCTTCTTCAAACATCAAAGGGAAGTTGGCGGTGGTGGTGGTGGCGGCATTGATAATATCCGGTGGGTTGGAGGATTGTTCTTCATAGCAACAATTTGAACTCGAAGCAACTTCAGAGTTTTGCATGGTTTCTTGAAACAAATCCGATTCACAAAACTCTAACATTTGAGCATTAAACGGGCTCCATAGTTGTTCCTATGAAAACAAAAGAACCAAAAGAATGACATTTAGATCATGAAAAAAGGAAAAGATATATAATTGTAAAACATATGCAAACAACATGAACCTCAACAAAATGAAATGTTTTCTCAAATCTTGTACAATGGGTTTTCATTCGTGATCGATTCACATTTTGTACCAAACTTTCGTCCTTTTGTACTATGCTATAAAAAAGGGGAAAAAATGTTCTAGTCAAATGTGCACCATGTGCCCCTTATGAAAGCTAAGTTGACCAACTTAAAACCAAATTCGATGGGATAAAAAAAGAATATAAATTTGGCCCCTTTTTTTAAGTGATATGAACCTATTCAACAGTAATATGTACTTATCAGGTTCAGATTCTGTGTTTTTTGTTTGACATGAAGCAGAACAAGAATTCGTGCTATGCATCCAAAGTTTCTCATGTTTAATAAGGTCAACAATATCTAAACGAGATTAATGTTTATTATAACTAATGTTTACTTTCTATAAAAAAAAAGTTGTTTTTATTGCAACCTTTTAGGAGCTATTCACACCATGGAACAAATATTATAGAAGTAAATCAAATATACAACAGTCTCAACGGTTCAACCCAACTAGAATCCAACCTAAAATAAATCAAATCAGAATTTTCAACCAATTTAATTAAATAACTTGAGTTAGTGCTGAAATTTTTGTTGTACCATAAACCCATCTACTCATTAAATATATAATGATGTTTATTTTAGATTTATTTAATATTTCAATTTGGACTATTAATGACTAGTTATGTTTTTTTTAACTTGAACTTTTTTTTTTTTTTTTGTCATTTTGTGTAAAATCTAAAAAGTTTAAATGGATTAACCTAGGTAACTTTGATCATGTTGGAGAAAAGTAAATGAGCTAACATGAAGGTTACCAAATTTATCTGATAAATCGAGTTGGGTTAAAATCTCAAACCATTTACTTATGTTGGATGGATTGGAAAATTTCCAGTATTTTTATATTGGAATTAAGTAGTTGTTAGAGATTCGAATTCTTGACCATTTATGTTATCAAAACATACTTGAACCAACCATGCTACGCTTATGACCAAAAGGTATACCGCCTTGGGCATCTCCTACCGACTAGTTCTATGACCAACATGGGTGGTAACTGGTAAACCAGAGGTGATGCTCAGACGTGAACCTAAGCAGCTAAGCTCTCACTGTAGACATATCCTTCAATTATAATCTGATTGAAATCAATAAAACGGTGAATAAACATGAAATATAGCTATAGTCAATGTGAAACTGTACAACATTCGAATATGTACGAAAATACGAAAATACCCATATTTGGAAAGAGAAGTTGGAACCATAATTTTGCATTAAAAGGACGTGCATAAAACTAATTGCCATTCAAAAGAAATGCTCCAAGTCTCAATCTCAAAGAATCGAAGAACTACAAGACTACTTAAACATTACGCGGCTATGTTTATATTCTTGAAATTATTGAAATAGTAGTCCAAATAGTGATTTTGGCACATAGAAAATGACGTATTAGGTAGTGAAGTTAGATAAGCAAAAGCATGCATGAGTTTCTTTCTCCTTCTTTTTTTCTTTTAGACGTCAAGAATCAAATCAAAGATAAGAATGAAAATGAAATTGGAATGGAATGTGACAAAGTTCCTTTTATCTTTTTCCATCTTTACAACTTGATGCATATTGTTGTTGTTTACGTTTTGTCAAAAATAAAAGGTGTAAAACTTTTCTAATTGAAAATGAAATGGATAACGTATATGTTATATTTTTGGCTTGAGAATTTTATATACATTGTGCATGCACATTTGACAAAATTGAGATGGAAATAAATACATACTTGAAAAAAAAAACAAAGATATGCATCAATCTTAAATATTGTAGATGTTTTTGAGTTTCGTTGGGGCATAAAATAATTATTAAAAAAAAAAAGAACATAGATTGTTCTGTGAGTTTTTTTTTTTTTTTTTTTTTTTTTTTTTTTTTTTTTTTTTTTTTTTTTTTTTTTTTCAGAACAAAAAGTGATTAAAAACTCCTTTATATTCCAACTATTTCTCCTAATTTTGGAAATAAATTGATAAAAAAAGTTTTAAAAGTATTAAAATAATAAAAATATCCTTAGAGTTTTACCCTAAATTTATATGCTCATTTTATAATTTTTTTTTCTTTCTAAAAAACATAAACACAATGTAATCATGATTGTATATAATCACAATTCACCGTGGATGTTTTATTGATTGTTGGTGTTTCATGATCTACTTTTCACGTAATGAATTTAGATCAGTTTATCAAATTTCAAAAATCTTTAATTCAAGCTCAATTTACTCATTTTGGGTATAGATCATTGACAAAAAAAAAAAAAAAAAAGAAAGAAAGAAAGATTAAATGAGCCTTTTCTTGTAGTTTTTCTGTAAAATTTTACACCTAAATGACATGAACATTCATTTAAATAAACGAGTGAATAATGCAGTATTTACCATCGAACATTGTTCTGGTGGCAGAATCACATCAGGCAACATTATTTTGTTCTTGGATCGACGAACAAGTTTTGAGTTTTTGAAAAAACAAGAATCAATCAAATCAAAAACCCTATGTGCAATGAAGAGAATCAATAGAAACATGTAGCTTGTCGGAAACTTGTCTTCTAGGCTCCAAGTAGACATGTGAAAACGTTGAAGGAAGATGAACCTCCATGAGAAATGTTTCTGAGATTAAAAAAAAAGGAAAAACAAAAGAAAATTTTGTGGTTTTTAAAATGAGAAAATAGAGACATTAGGAAAATAGTTTTTAAAGTATGGTTTATATAGGTTACGAGGATGGGTTTTTTGCACGTTATTCTCGTTGTCCTATTTCGCTGAGCCATACATTGACCACGTGCTATATAATATTGCCTACAAATTAGTTAGTTATAGTTGACAATTTTTCTAAATTGGAATTATTAAATCTATAAAAAAAATCTAAAAATTAAACAATGTTATCTCATATTTAAGTTTATGAGGTTTAAGAACAACCTCAATATATACATCAAAGTTTATTATATGCTAGACTAAATTTGTCTATAAATTTTGAACATTATCAAGTATACTTACACCATTAGAGTGGATTTCAGCCTTGTGTGTCATTCACCGTGGGTTGCTATTATTGAGTCATGATAAGACGTAGTTAGGATAAAACGGTTACATGAACATAAATGAACAAATTCTATCATATTGAATGACATATTGGACGTCACATAAGTTGTTAAATACCATTTCATCGGTTAAAATATGTTCTAATGGTATAATGAGACATAGAAAAAGGTTTATTGATCTATTGAATGCAACTAAAATATAAGTGACTTAAAGAAAAATTGAGAAATATTTGTTGTAATTTTGTGACATTATCCATTTTTAATGACGCGATACCAAGTTGGTAGATCCGAGCAAAACTGAAATGCAACCGGTAATTATAAGGTAGTAATATAATTCCTAAATTTATATTTCATTGGAAACTAGTGGCTTAAATTGAAGATTCGTTTAGAATTCCATGTTTTTATTGATAATCTATATTTTCCTATGAAATTCATTCTCATTAGATGATACGTATAAATAATACACGATACATACAAGGCACATGGGCCAAAACAATGGAGCCTAACTACAATGGGCTAGAATAATACAATACAAACATATACATAAATGTACCCACTAACATCCCCTTGCTGTTTTATCGGGAGGAGAATTTTGAACGTTTAAACTAGACTTGAACTCGTTAAACATATACATAAATGTCAACGTACTGAGCGGAAGAGGGCACGCGAAAAACACAAATTGCGACCCTAGCAACCAGATCATGAACAAAATGAATATCAATCTCTATGTGTTTCGTGCACTGGTGTTGAATCGGGTTCGATGTCATGTAAACATAACTGATATTGTCACAATAGAAAATGGTGGCTTTGGTGGGCGGACACTTAAGCTCATAAAGCAAATTTCGAACCCAACATGTCTCTGCAACAACGTTGGCAATGCCACAATATTTCGCCTCTGCACAAGACCGCGAGATAACCCCTTGTCGTTTAGAAGACCATGAGATGAGATTATTACCAATAAAAATACAGTATCCTTGTAACACCCCGTTTATTAAATAAATAAATAGACAAATTAATAAACGAATAGAAGCCCTAAAACCAATAATATTGAGCAAGGTGTTGGTTTTAAGGAGTTAAAAGTCACAATTATAGAAGTTGGGGGTTAAAATGTAACTTCCGGATTAAATTTGTAAAGACTTTTGAAGGTTGAGGACTGTTTAGTAAATTATGGGTTTAATTTGAAAGGATTTTTGAAGATAGGGGCTGCTTGGTAATTAGTAGAACTTATTATGAGAGGAATTATGGAAGCAAGGGGCTAAAGGGTAACTTCGGGACCTAAGTTGAAAAGCTTTTGGATAGCTGGGGTTAAAAAGGTAAAATGTGGATTGAATTTTTAAAGAAAAGGGAAAGGAGGGACTATATCTGCCATTATGGAAACTAGTTAAGGGATCGGGTATATAACCCATCACCCCTTCGAGAACCCTAAACCTAAATGGACAACAGTCGTCGCTCTCACTCCCTCAATCTCCGGTGCCGCACCACCACCTCCGTTGAGGTCGCCAACCGTCGGATGTCGCCATAGGGCTGTTGATTCACGTCGTCTCTTGCGTGTGTGACGTGTTGCTGGGTAGTGAATCAAGAAACAAACCGCGGCCACCACCGTGAGGTGGTGGCTTTCATCGCAAAACACTACTGTTGCCGCCTTCTTGACCCAATTCCCTCGTCGTCGCCGTTCATAGGGTTGTCCATTGTAGTGCTTTTATTTGACTGCCTTATGCTGCCACCCCAAAGCGACCGAGGTGGTTGCGTGACTTGCGACTGGGCTTGCTCGCGTGGGTCGATGTTGCTTGGCTGGGAACAAAAAGGAGTCACCGCCACCACCGTGAGGTAGTGGCTGCCATCCCAAAACCGCTGCTGTCGCCGTCGTGAGCCACCAGGTGGGTGGTTGGAGTGTATATCACAATCTGAAGTGTGTGTATGTGTGTTTTGTGTGGCTAGAAAACCAAGGAAGCCACCACCACCACCGTGAGGTGGTGGTTGCCGCCATGCGCCACCGCCAACCACCACAAGGTGGTTGTGTGTGTATTTTATTTTGATGTGTTACTTGGGATTAAATCACTGTAAAGTGTAATTATAGATTAGGATAATAAAGAAAACTCAAAACCACCACCGTGAGGTGGTGGCTGCCGCCACCAGCCGTCGTGTTGGGTGGCGGTGTGCCTCGTTTGGGTTTTGACTCGTTTGGGATGCTTGGACAGAATGGGCCTAATGAAACCCTAGTGGGCCCAAAGAAACCCTAATAGGCCCAATGAAGCCCTAATTGACCTAACAGCCCAACCATGTGACTAATGGGCTAGTATTGGGTTGGAAACCCTAATTAGGGTTTGGAAAACCCTAATGGCATAAAACCCTAATTTTGGGAATTATCGGGACCCGTACTTGAATTAATTACGAAACTGAAAATGTTAATTAATAATCATTTGCAAATTAACATAAGGCAATATTGGACTTAATGGATTAAGTCCTTAATGGGTTAAGTAGGAATACTTAACCCTAATCGTCATTTCATGTGAAAACCCTAATTTCACTTGGGCCTTGAGTTGGGCCTTCCTATTGGGTTTTGGTGATTGGACTATTGGATGACTTTAGGGTACGGCCCATGTGAGAGACTTGGGCCCAATTTGGAAAACTGGGCCATAGGTGGGCCATAACTGGGCCTTGATGATTATGTGATATTGGTCCATGGGAATACCAAGAGTTTGGACTAGAATAATTGGATGGGCCTTAAGGAAAGACCATGTAGAGGTCTGGGCCCAATTTGGAAAATTAGGCCATATGTTGGGCTTTGGCCCATTATTTGACTATTGGTCCTTTGGAGTGTGATTTGGACCTTGGGCTTAGAACCCAATTATTAATTGGGTATTGTTTGATATTGGCAGTTCGGGAATCTGTCAACCAGCAGCTGGAGTTTCATCCGCGGGACTTCAGCAGTGCCAGGTGAGTTTTCCTCACTATATCAACAGGGTCTACGGCACCAAGGTCAGCCTTTTATGGTTCACATCCTGGTTTAGGATGGTTGCTATGTTATTGATCTGTTAGATTTCATCCTGGTTTTAGGATGGTTGCTATGTGTAACGCCCGTGTTTCTGGGCTAAGCATTAGTATAGTGATGTAATAGTCAGATCAACCATTATAACCTCTTTTGAAGTAATAAAGATGAATTATTCTAGTAATACGTGAATTATGTGAATTTATGTGTTTATTACTTGTTTATAATGATATAATAAAGGGATAATGACTTGAGAGGGTAATGTATTTTAGCTTTTGGTTACATTTGGTCACTAAATTATTTTTCGTGCATTATTAACCCTTGAACTTGTTGAAATGTATAGATTATACCAGTATGACCGGTAATAGTGGATTTTGCCGGTTTCCGGCGTTGTTTCCGGCCAAACACGTTTTCCAGTCATCTTCTCCGGCCAAACTCGATTTTCCGGCATTGCTTCCGATGACACATTTGGTCAAACTCGATTCCTACCTAAGACCACCGCCAACAGCTCCCAAATCAGCCACCAGTCACCACCCTTACCCCCACCAGTCACCACCTTTACCTTCAATTACCCCACCATAACCCACTAAAACCACCATTGGTTCACTGCCAATATAACCACACCTGCAAATCGAAAATAAGAAAAGTATTAAATCTTGTTACACCGTCAAACCCACACACCATTCTCTATCTGTCGACAATCAAACCTGCAACTCAAAGGGGGAAAATAAAGTCTACAATCGATTTTGAGAGAAGAAGGAAACAATGACCTCGCTGGAGAAATGCCAGACAAGATCAGAAATATTGTTCAAAGATAAAAAACATTAAAAGAAACAATGTATGATTCACTAATCAATGCAAGATTCGATTTTGTTCTTATGTTCTAACTAAAAACTCAGATTTAAACAAATTGAAAGATTGCAGGAAGGAGAAGGAAGAACCCAAACCAATGGTGAGAAATCGACCCAAATAAGAATCTGAAAGAAATGCACCCAAAACAGGGGAAAAATTGGAAGCAACAGTCCAAAGAAAGAGTATATTTGTGAGAAATTGACCAAAATATGAATTCCGGTATAATTCCTCCATTTGCTCCCCATTTTCTTCGTTTTTTTTCTTCTGAAAAGTAATAAAGGGGTTTCTCTTTATATATCGGTTATGGGTTAATCTTTATGGTTAAAAAGAGGGGAAAGAAACTGTAGAGCATTTTGGATATGATTTTGCTCAAGAAAGGGGACTAACCATGATTTTGCAGGAAAATCGAGTTTGACCGGAGAAGATGAGCGGAAAACTCATGTTTGACCGGAAACCAGCAAAACCTACTATTACCGGTCACACTGGTATAATCTATACATTTCAACAAGTTCAAGGGTTAATAATGCACGAAAAATAATTTAGTGACCAAATGTAACCAAAAGCTAAAATACATTACCCTCTCCAGTCATTATTGATGGGTTTTAGGTAAACAAATAAACTAGAAAACAATTCCTAAGTTCACATGCAACCTACTTTGGATCTATGTTTTAACTATTGAACATACAACTTTGAATTGCAAAACAAGAACCCTAGAGGAGAGAGGCTAATTTCGAAATTAACAAACTAGGGTTTAGGGTTTACATACCTTTCAATTGTTATAGCAAACAATTGAT